CCAGAGCAAGGCAAGAGAATAGGCTATAAAATCAGATCTCGTTCAAACCTGGATTGTGACTGAGTAGCTGTATAACATTGGGAGAAATAAAGTGTGAGTTACAACATGAAGATCATAATACTATTTTTTTACATCCCTGTTAGAATTGCTGAGTAGCTTAAACAAGAGGTGAGTAATTCCCTTAGTATGATATCTGGTTTGTAGACTTAAATGATGTTAGTGACTATTATCTGTACCTTTGAGAGAAAATGCCTACTTGCTAGTCCACTTTAATGAAAAGACTCAGTCATCCTTAGTAAAAAATAAAAACTAGTACATTCACCCACAGATTAGCCAAGTTTTCTTAATTTTCGAGTAAAGATTTTTCTTTAATAAGGGAAATAAAATACTTTTAACAATACTGTATACATACCACAGATACATTTAGGGATCCCATACTAGTGACAGAGATAAAATGACACATCACTCCCGTATTATGACAAGGCTGAAGTTCCTGGACAATGTTGTGACCGGTAGCTATCTTAATATCTGTAAGAGCTTTAGCCCAGGCGGAAGTGCTCACCAACCACAAAAAAGTGACAACCAGAGTAACAACAAAGTCCTAAAGCAAAAAATAAGTATAAGTTAATGATGAAGTCAATTTAAAAGTACTAAATTTCAAATTCATGACAAAAGAATTAAAATTGTAATGAACCCTATGGCACTGAGAAATGGCTTTCATATACTTTATATAAAAAAAAATCACAAGTTAACATAATATTGCCAGTGTCTGCAATATAACAGTAAATAAGACTCATGTTTCTCTACCAGCCTAAGATTTTTAAATTGGAAATCGGTCTTGCACAGACCATACCACAACCTCACCTTGGCTACTCACCCTGAGGACCTTATCTTAGACCCCATTCTCACCAATATCTCCTATCTCCCTTTCCATCATCCTGTACTCCCCAACATCACCTCTTTCCAGCTCACTTTCTCTGGTATCCCAATTATCTCTTTGACTTTCTCCATGACCCTTAATCTAATCTAATGTTATCACTTTTTTACAGTCTCAATTTTATTCATGTTCTCAATTCTCTCCTTAGTCAATTTATACTTCAAGTTTTTTCATTAAGATCCTTTGCAAACACTCTTAACTCCCTTAACAGATTTAAGAAATGCAATGCCTTTTGGAGAACTGATAAATGGAATGAGGGTACTACATGCTAAACAAGTTCTCTCTGGGCTAATGTTGATAGTTCTGACCAGTATGCAAATTCTGTTTATTTTCAGGTTGCTTCCTTCCAAATTCCTAATTAAAAAAAATTTTTTTTCCCTAAAAAACAAACCAAAAAAACCCTGTTTTTTCCTGAGTAGGCTTTTTAAAAACGACTTTGTGGTGGCTTACAGCATGACATTTTCATATTTCAGAAGCAGGTGCTTTTTGAAAATAATGCACACAGTAACTTTAGAGTGAAAATGGGGGAAATGTAAGCCTCTGAGTTCTACTCAGGATTCCAGTCACACTGCAGTCCAGGTGAACACGTCACTGGAGTTCTGCAATGTGTGACTGTTGCTGCGTGTGGCAGCTCTGATTCTACCAGAAAGACACTATATGGTATGTAACACATTTTTTAGATTTGGGATATTCTATGGATTTTGTTTATGATATCCCTTATTCTCCACATGGCTTACAATCTTTAAGTTCTTGCTACTTGACACAAAAATTGAAGTGCTCCCAGAAATTACTGAGCAGAAAATTGAGAACACTATTTAAAGAAGTATGTTCTCGATAACATGCAGTACTTAAAAGAAAATAAATCAATATTATCTTTAGTTACTTTAAAAATTTGTGTATCAAGAAAATTGTTACATTTTATATGGCTAAATTAAAAGTAGAAATTAAAATTTAAATTAGAAGCTAGGCTTTATTTATAGACAAGAGACATCCACTCTATATTACAGCAATTAACAAAAAACCCACTTAAGGAACTAGTTCTGGATTATCTCTCTATAGAGTGATTATTCCAAGGTGGAAAATCATTCTTGAATTTTTAAACAATGCAACTATATAGTTTTATTTGGTAGAAAATCCCTCTGCAAGAAAAGATCTGAATACTGCTTTTGAAAGTGTGATATTTGGGTCCTCTCTGGTGGCACAGCAGGTTAGGACCCAACACTGCAAGCTAGCTGCAGCCATTTCAGTGCAAGTTTGATCCCTGCCCCGGAGGTGACCCACGTGGCGTGGCAGACCTCTTCTGACCCGCCCACTGCTCTCTTGAGCAGTGTACTTCATCAATCTGCCTGTTCTGCTCCCCACTTTGTCTCTGGTGAAGACTCTCGCCGACCCTGAGCCTCTGGCGAGTACCCCAGTTCTGTATGCACAAATAAATAAATCTTAAAAAAAAAAAAAAGTTAGTAAACAAAATATGAGGAATAAAAGACTCATTGCTAAGGTTTAATTTAAAAATTTCTTGGGATAACAACAAATGGTAAGACATGTCCTCACTGAGTAGTTAAAGGGTAAAGAATTTTAACAAAATCATCTTTATGATTATCATAGTGCCTTTTGAAATAAAAGTTGTAATTGTCTGTAGATGTTACAGAATCTTAAGTAAATTTTGCTAATTACTGAAAGTTAGTTGCCTCTCTTTCTGAAAGGCACCTAACAAGAAATAATTTATGAAAGGTTTGTCTGGATTAAGGAGCCTCCTTGGTGGTGCAGGGGTTCAAGTCTCAGTGCTATGAAGCTATTGTCAGCCACTGCAGCATGAGTTTGATCCTAAGACAGGGAGCTGACCCACATGGCACAGCAGAGCTCTCCTGCAGCTCCCCTCAGTTTTGTGAAACTGTGGATTCACAGTTCTGCTCCCTACTCTGTCTCTAGTGAATCCTCTCACTCCCCTGTAACTCTGGCCTATACCCCAGTTCTTAGATGCATAAATAAGTAAAAATACATCTTTAAAAAAAAGGTCTGGTTTGAGAATCTCTTCTTAGATAACAGAAACAATAAATATGTATAAAAGATTGTTTTATTCCTTACTTACCATTTGCAATCTTATGATCCAGGTAGCAAAAATTAAAAATAAATAAGTAAATAAATAAAACCTGTTAATATTTTTTTCATATTTAAGCAGCCTTCCCTTTAGCAGATGACAGTATTTTCTCATAGAGGTAAATGACCAATATTATAAAAATATTTTCCCTTCAAGTCAGTTAACATTAATACTGTTCTTTTGTAGTGGATGTCCAGATTAAAACCATAGCTTATCTCTGGACTTCATTAATAATCTAAGATTCTACTAACTAAATCTGAGAGATTCTAGCTCAGTAGACTCTGAAGCCAAAAAATGTGTTAGGGTCTCAAACTCAAATTCTCAAAGATTCAGATTAGCTCACAAATGCCACAAATGCTGAAAACAAGATGATCTGGGTCAGAGTGTAAATTAGGGAATTTGGCGATATGATACAGCAGCTAGCAAACTTCTCCTAAAAAGCAGCAGGCTGTAGATCTTTAATCTCCTGACAACTGTTCCGCCACTGCAGTGGGGAAGCAGTGAAACACATCAGCAACTGGCACGGCCATGCTCTGAAAAACTTTATTTGAAAAAACAACTGTGTGTCAGATCTGGCTTATTTGCCGATTCCTGATAAAGACTATGAGCTCAATAAAAGAAGAAAAGACAGAAAAAAGGCATAAAGGGGGAGTCTTTGAAAAAGAGGGAAAAAAGTAAGTGGGAACACAATTACGACACTACTAATATGGTCAGCAATTCTTTAAAGGTATTAATTTCTACTTAATTTCTCTGCTATTTGCAACCTATCATGTCCCATGACACATCTGAGTTCTTTCCAGGTTCAAAACAGAAACAAGGCTCCGCACTTCCAAAAGTACAGAGAAAGTGCTGCAAACAGGCTGAAAGAATTGAGCTAAACATGACAACCTGAGAAAGTTGAATCTTGTGACAATATACGTCCACATATGCTGAACTGGGCCAAGAATTTTTATTTCCAGTGTAGGAGAATAATGATTTAACTTCAAATATAATGTAAATAAAAATTAGGAAAAACATATAATGTATACTTAAACAATTGTTTTTGTATTAAAAGGTAGCAATTACTTACAATCATGGGAAATTTTCGACTATCCCGATAGAGGTTTGTATAACCGACATAGAGCAGAAGAGCAGCCATGCAGTACAGGAAGACAAAGACGGCAAATGTAACATAGAATTGTGCAGAGGACGAGTAGTCTCCAACAAGAACTTGACTACTCCAGTCTGTATTACACACATTCGACTGTGAAACTGCTTGAAATGACACTTCATTCAACCTATTTAGAAAAAGATTCAAAGAAACATCAATTATTAAAACTTTTCCAAGTTAGAAACACATAGGCAGAACATTAAAATGAGATTTCAAAAAACATTTCCAAATATATACATTTTCTTTTTAAAGCAAGAAAAAAAAATATTTAAGTTAAAAAATTTCATAAGAAATGTACATAAGTTATAACACAGAAATTGGCTTATGATAGATTAGATATAGACTGATTAAGCATTTTCACAACCAGATATTATTTTCTTGTAATGAAAAATTAGCAGATTGAGAGGGCTGGGACAAAACAGTTTATAATTTTAGATATGATATTCCATTCTAGATGGCAGAGTCAGTGTGACTAGCGCCAGGAAATCCAATTATAATCACTTTAATTCTGGATTAAATAGCAGCTAACTTCACATTATCTTTGATTTTTCCCAATCCATAAATGCAAAAGCCCTATCACTAAAGATGCTATAAGAGTTGCTTATATAGAGACTTAGGAAAGAGAAGAGATTGGGAGATAGAGATAATTACCAAGTACTTGCTGATATAACTTTTAATATAAGGTTTTATTTAATCATCAAAACAAACTCAAGAAATAATTTTTCCAATTTACAATTTATAATTGTTTCCAGAAAAACAATCCAAGAGAGACTTAAGTACTGGAAATATTTAAGATACTTTTCAATGAATTCAAAGAGAATTCACAAATGAAATATCCACTTTAGTTTGAGAGTAAGGAAATCAAATTTTATGTTGGTGAAAGAAGCAGGAACTCTTTACATATGTACTAGCACTCTGTAAAGAAAAAAATTATTTAGCAATGGCAAATATACAAGAAATATGGACTTCAAAAGTTTAATTTAATTCTACCTCATGGCTTTCTACATCACGCTAATGAAGCAGACTGTTTTGTTTTTAAATTTTCTATTCAATGTGGGGTGATATAATAAAAATGTCAAAATAGTGGCATATAAAAGTTTCTAAATGCTTACTTTCATTGTCCATATTTACTTCAACACAGACAAAAAGAAAGGTTTGCAGACAGGCAGTCTATGTACCATGGCTTGAATAGCAATAACCACTACTTATAAAGGAACATGAAATTTTTTTCCATTCCCTAAGATCAATAAACTGCTGGAAATCACAATGAGTCAATCCCAACATGAATGCAAGTTAAGCTATAAAAGCAAACGGACAAATAACTCACCTGAATGGATAAGCAAAAGTGGCAGTAATTGTTTTATTTTCCTGAGGACAAGATACTGAAATGTCTGTTTTACCTTTAAAACCTCCACAGGTGGCAAAAGCAAAGATAGAAGCAATCTATACAAAGCAAGACAAAAAAAAGGGGTGGGGGAAGAAACATTAGTATACCTAAAATCTTCTTATAAATTGGTTATTAAAAACCAGCTCACTAACATTCTAGAAATTCTGAAGACAAGTGCATACATAAAAAATTAACACTGCAATTAAAACTAATTTTGCATAGAATAAATGGGGTATAATAGGCCAGAGGTGCAGGGGAGGTGAGAGGATTCACCAGCTACAGAGTAGGGAACAGAACAGGCAGATATACTGAAATCCACTGCTGAGGGGTGCAGTGAGAGATAGGAAAGGTTTGCTGCACCAAATGTAGGTTAGCTCTCTACTCTGGCATCAAAGTCGGGTGATTGTGTGAGACTTAAGCCCTAGATCACCAGGGAGGTCCCTTATTTGTAATTTTTAACAAATGTGATTTTATTATTGTCAAGTATAAAAATCAGTATACCAGCCCTGTAACAATTCATTTGCTCATACTTGAATGTGCCTTACTAAATGTTAGTATGAAATTCAAAGAACATCTATTCATATTAATATTAAAAAAAACAAAAGCAGTGAATTAGGTATTTTTATTTGGAACTCAAGGGTAACTGAAGTCAAAGGGTGGTAAGCAAAGAAGTGATACTATGTCATATTTGAGTTCTTTGAGGTCTTACTGGTGTGTTATTTCTGGGTCTCAAAAAGTAGTTGGAAATTTGTTTCTCTGATCATGCACATATTTTTAAAAGCAAGTTAATATATACATATGTCTCCATATATATATCTGTAGTTTACTTTTGCATCATTTTGTACATTTTTCCATCTCAGTTGTAATCCCCTGTGGGCTTCCCATCACCAAATCACCCATGTGCCATCACCATAGTCCACTGCATTTCCCTCCCCCCATTGTTTCTGATCTCATTCCCCACTCCATCCCTATAAAATGTCTCTGGTATATACATATATTTCCTCGCCTGGTCTGTTATACTCCTGCTATGAGTGAAACCATCCGGTATTTTTCCTTTTCTTTCTGGCTTATCTCACTAAGCATGATCTTTTCCAGCTCCATCCATGTTGCTGCAAAAGGCATGTGCTTATTTTTTTTTTGGCTGCTGAGTAATATTCTATTGTGTATATGTACCATATCTTTTTTTTTAATAATGTAAGTTTATTTTCACATCATTTTGTACATTTTTTTTTCATCTCAATTGTAATCCCGTGGGTTTCCCATCACCAAGTTACCCATGTGCCATCACCATACTCCAGTGCACTTCTCCCCCTGCCCCTGTTTTTGATCCCATTCCCCACTCCACCCCCACAAAATGTCTGTTATACGGCTGTTCATTATCATTATTTTCTCGCCTGGTCCATTATACTCCTGCTATGAGTGAAACCATCTGGTATTTTTCTTTCTCTTTCTGGCTTATCTCACTAAGCATGATCTTTTCCAGCTCCATCCAAGTTGCTGCAAAAGACATGTGTTTCTTTTTTTTGGTTGCTGAGTAATATTCCATTGTATATATGTACCACATATTTTTAATCCAGTCATCCACTTTTGGTCATTTGGGTTGTTTCCATGTCTTTCCAATTGTAAATAAAGCAGCAATAAACATGGGGGTGCAGGTATCTTTTTGAATCAGTTTTTTTGTGTCTTTTGGGTAGATACCTAGGAGTGGGATTGCTGGGTCATATGGAAGCTCCATTTTTAGGATCATGCACATGTTTTAAAAATATGTAATGATGCTCGTAAAGGGTTATTTATAACAAAAAAAAAACCAGAAGCATCTTAAATGCTGACAGTGAAGCAAATAAACCAATTCATATAATGGAATATTATATAGTCATTTAAAAGTCAGGTGTAGACAGACATCTCTGTCTACAAATACTCTCCTTGTGTAATGCCTTGCAATATCTAGATGGGATGCTGCTCTGTTCATGAATTGTTTAATAAGGCCAATTACATCTTTAATTTGTTAATTTTATTTTTTTCAACAGAGTTACATCCAGCACATATTTTGGAGTTTAAATAAAGACAGAAGATTGTCTAATCTCTCAATATAAATGTATCTGAATACAAGAAAGAAAATAACAGAAGGCCTGGAAATGAGTCTTGGACATATACTCATATTTAATATTAGAGAACAGAAACAGGATACACAAATTGAAACAGAACAGAGAAATCAGAAATAGTTATGTACAGACAAATTCTATCTTACAGATATGGACTAGATACAGTAATTAGCTTCTAATGAATAAAGTAAGGTAGATAGAACAGATGTCCTTTCTGAGATTAGGCAACAAAAGAGACCACACTTTCTGTTTTCTTTTCTTACACTTTAATATCACCAACTCTAGGGGAAGTCAGTTGCGTATTGGGAGGATATTTAGGCAACTTATAGTGACTCATGTGGCAAAGAATCAAGGATTACTAAGGGTTTAACAGCAATGGTGTAGTGATCTTGCAGGTGGATTGACTGAGGCTTGCCAACAGCCAGGTTAGGGAGTTGGAAGGCTTGAGAAGACACAAATTTCAGCCAACAGTTTGACAATAATCATTTAGGAGACCCTGATAAAACTGACTCAGCAGCTTCCAGATTCTTGAGACATAGAAATTATAAGATGATAAATATCTGTTGTCTGAAGTGCTAAGTTGGGGATAAATTGTTATGTTTCAATTGATAGGAAAAACAATTTAATAAATGGGACAGATGGGCTGCAGACTTAAATGAACAAAGAATCTTGAAAAAGTTAAGACAATTTAAAAAAATTGAGCAGAGGCCCTCCCTGGTGGCGCAGCGGGTTAAAGCACAGCACTGAGAATCTAAAGCCGCTTCCGCATGAGTTCGATTCCCGCCTGCCCCGGAGGAGACCACATGGCATGGCAGACCTCTCCTGGCCCGCCCGCTGCTCCCCTCAGCAGTGTACTTCGTCGATCTGCCTGTTCTGTTCCCCACTCTGTCTCTGGTGAAGCCTCTCACCGCCCCTGAGCCTCTGGCCTGTACCCCAGTTCTGTATGCACAAATAAATAAATCTTTAAAAAAAAAAATTTGAGCAGAAAAATAAAAGCTTTTGAATACAAAACAAGCTACAAAATAGGTGAAAGCATCTACATAACAAAGATTAGCATCTACTAGTACACAAACCTAAGAGAAACTTGCTAATGTGTATTAGTAGATATAAAAATATTCACAGTGACATTATAATATTGAAAATGGAGAGGGGGAAAGGAGAGGGGAGGGCCCTCCCTGGTGGTACAAAGGTTTAAAGCGCAGCACTACAAGGCTGGCCACAGCTGCTTCAGCAATAGTTGGATCCCAGGCACCGAAGGTAACCCACAGGTGACCCACATGGTGCAGCAGACCTCTCCTGACCAGCCCGCTGCTCCCTTTAGCGGTGTACTTTGTCGCTCTGCCTGTTCTGCTCCCCACTCTGTCTCTGGTGAATCTTCTCACCACCCTGCACCTCTGGCTTGTACCCCAGTTATAGGTGCATAAACAAATAAATCTTAAAAAAAAAAAGAAGAGGGGGGAAACAATAGGAAAACATAAAATATAGCTGTATACACTTACAGAGGGAAATTATACAGTAATAAATATATGAATTATAAATACCCATATCACATGGATAAATTATAAAAACCTAAAAAGGTAAGTGGAAAAAAAATTACTGCCCGAGTACACAGAGCAGAGAGCAAAGTAAAAGCTCTGCTTACTTGTTTGCCTCATTCCTGCTACTATTTTGGTTTAGGCCCTCACCATTTTTCATTGGCACTAACTCATCAGACTCTCATTTCTGATCTCATTCTAATCATCATTCATCTTCTATGGTGAGGGCTCTAGAGCTGCAGTGTCCAGTAAAGCAGCCTCAGCCAAATATGGCTATTAAACACTAAACATGGCCAGTCTGAAATGAGATAAGTTGTAGTGTTATATTTACTCTGGATTCTGATGGTTTAGTATGAAAACAAACATATGAAATACCTCACCAGTAACTATACTGATTACTATTTTGGATATATTGAGTTATGACTAAAATATATCATGAAAATTAATTTCTTATTCTCACTTTTTTAGTGTGGCTAATATAACATTTAAATTACTATGTAAAAAGGATTTCCTCAATGGCTTTCCGGAATTAAATTTAAGGGGGAAAAGGAGTCCAAGTTTCTTAATTCAGCATAAGAAGCATGGCTGAGATAGTCTCATTTTTCTTTCTAGATTTCTTTGCATTATACTCCCTGCCAGGTAATATATATTATCATACTGCGCTACTATTGTTCTGGAAACATACCACGTATTTATGTCTTGAATGTACGTTTCTTCTGTAGGAATGTGCCCCTACACCCCGATTCTCTAAATAAGGTCCTCCTTTAAATTCCTACCCATTCGATTGTGGTAGAATTCCATATTCTGTCTCCTGGAAGGATGGTCACAGACTTGTACTAGAGGCATTTTTCTTGAGTTGCTGCCTTACAAACCACTATCCTCCAAAACAAAAATTAGCTTTCTACCTATTACAAAAATTAATAAACAAGTGGTATACTATACTATACCTTAATGCTTTCAAGACTATCACCTTTACCTCTCCATTGCCAGACCATGTTTTGTACCTGTCTATTCATGATGTTCAGTGCTAACCTATTCATATAGCAAATGCTCACTAAATAACTGCCTAATTAAAGAAAAATATGAATACCCAATAATCTACAATAAAGTTATATTTGAATCTAACATAACCATCATTTCAAGTCTGTTATGAAATAAATGTCATGCTTACAATTCTGGTTTTTATCTTATAGAAAAAAGGGATAAGGCATACATTTTTTACTAAATAAGGAATATGATAACTGAAGGGTACACTATCTGACTTTTAATTCACTCTATGGTCTACTGCTATTTTGATGTAGTAATTCTATATTGGTTGTCCATGTGAAAACTGGCATGCAGATATGTTTTTATGACATTTCCAGTATTTATTAAAAAATGTGAACTTGTTACATACTCTACAAATTTGAATTTCTTGCT